TGACGTTTTGCTCGGGCTGAGTACAGCGGCGCCGGATGGAGCAATGGCACCGGAGCATGTGGGCGACATCGACCCGTGGCGCACGGACAAACATTTATATCTGATCTGTGTTGTCAATTTTTCTCGTTTTTTTCCTGATTTTCGGTGTTGGTTCTATGTGATGACGTCGTCACTGGTTTTGTAGAGAGACCCGTCAGAGATGGCGTGGCTAACCCGGGTGCCTTGGTTATGTGCCTGATCGTGGAAGACCCCTTCAATGTGGAACGATTCTTAGCTATTGTCGATATTTTCACTGCGTGCCTAACACAGACGATCGGGAGAGATTCGGGTGATTGTCCATTGCAATCATGGCTTTGGTTGGTTGTTCTTTTTCACTGTACGTCCGCAGACACATTCTGACAGCACTTCAGACAGCAGCTTTGTGCCCCGCCAGCTTCTTGTTCCATGCCTACCATGGTGTTTTTGTACAGACAGCACTTCAGACAGCAAGTATGCTGTAGTCGGCAATCATTCGTTTTGGTACAGAGTGGGACAGGTAGGGGGTGATGTTGCTGTAGTCGAACGGTGAGACGGACGTGTAGTTCAGTTTTGGGCACGCGTACGGTGCTGCAGGGATTATATATAGGTGTAGGTGTACCTCTTCGGGCTCTTGGATACCTTTTTCTCGTTATATGTGTGCGTGTTCTTTAGATCCTCAGATGGCTCTAGCACTTTCGTGACCACGGGCTGAGAGTCTTTTGCTAGATTTTGGCATTTGGCAACTGACATACGGTCTAATGTGAAGACAACAACAACAAACATGCTAACCTACACTGCGCGGCGCGGGCAGGCGGACGAAGAGTACCCTGTTACACTAAGCTCACACGTTCGGGTATTGTTCCCAATTGTGCACTAGTGTGAAGTACACTTGGACAAAAATGCGGCAGGTACAAACAAGAAGCGCTGCCGTGTTGTAGTAATTTACTGGTTTAGAATTGAAACGAGGGTGTGTGCGAGAGAACAAGGAACGAATGAACGATGAAAGCGGAGAATGAAGAAAAACGAGAGACAAGAAAAAGGAAAGAAAAAAGCCGAAAAAAGACACCAGACCAAAGGAGAAAGAAAGACGAAAAAAAAAGGCCTGCAAAAACAATGGCGGGGGAAATAACCCAACGTCACAGCATTGCATGTAGCGCACATCCGGAAAATCTCCTTCGCGTGCAGTTTTCTGACTGCCGCAGCCTGCAGCAGTTGAATTCTCCACCTTATGCCGGCCAGCCTTCACGGTCCCAATAAACCGAAGCGAGCACTCGATGCGGTCTGCAATCTGTGCGTGAGACACTTCTGATCCAGCATCTTCAGCATCTCGAGCTTCTTGTTGTTGTCCAGCCGCGCACGAGAACCCGTTTCCTTCTTGCTTCCCCCGCTCGTCTGCTTCTGGCGTTTAGATGGTCCCGCCCCAGCACCCTTAGCTGGTGTCGCTTTGCGCTTGCTAGTCCTGGCGACAGATGTGCTGCAGATGCGGTGCTGCTCGTTGTCCTCAAACACGCTGTCGCAATTGCCGTGGAGCCGCCCGCCACATCCTCCCTTGCAGGGGTGGCCATGAGGGGGTTGCGGCGTCCTGTCTTGTTGAAGGCACAGTTCGTGTGTGTGTGTGTCAGCTGGCGTGTGTGTGTGAACCGGCACTATTGCGGTGCGCCGTGGTGCCCAATCGGCACTATAAAGGGTCCGCCCTCAATAGTGCCGAACTGGCACTATTGAGGGCGCTTTCTGTGTCCAGAGTTTTCACCGGCACTATACCGGGCATCGGCACTATTCAATCGGCACTATAGCGGGCCCAGTACTGTGTCGTGTTGATTTCCAAGTGTGCGCTGAAATGGTGATAATTCACTCGGGTACCCGTTTCTGGTTACTTCTCTTGTTGGCAAGGTACATGCTGCAGTACAGCACTCACACAAGAACTAAAAGTCATTATTATTATATATTATTTGCCATCCGACAAGTATAGGTGTAGACTATGAAACGAAACTCTCACTCAACTAGTATAATATCAACTAATTTCCGAAGATAAATATGTTCCAATATCAACCAGTATTCGATCTCTCTCATGCTCCAATACAATCTTGTCACCCATGTGTCTTGTCGCATGTACATATGTGAAAACACCAAATTCAACTGAACTCCTCTCTCCACTACAATACTTGAAGTAGACATACGGTGAATACTTAATCTTCGATCCAAGCGAACTTACTCATTGTTGTAAAACCGAACGAAAAAAATCGAAAACAATATTCTTTCTAACTACTACTACTGTTCATCGACACTGCATCCCCAGATCATTGGTGTCGATGCGTGTGGTGTTGATCTTATTCTTCCTGCCGCCTCTTGACGTCCGCGTAGTGCCAGCTTGTATCGCTGAACTCTCCGCGAAATGGCCACCTGTGTAGCCACTGAAATGACTTGAAGAAGTCGTTCCTTGTAGACTCCTTACTGCGCCATCGATCTACCGTCTCTTCCTCCTGCGGCATGTGTCGCTAGTTCGTCGACGAACTCGTAACCCTGCTCTCCAAGGCGTCCAAAGCTTTCCACCGCTAAGGTGGTAAGTTTAAAGCTGCGCTCATCAAAGGACACGTGTCCCGGACGAGCGTAGTGCTGGCGCTTTCGCGCCTCGGAGGCTTGGGCTGCGGTTCCATCGCTGGTTGCGCTGCCGTTCCGCAAGTGTACCTGTGCTTGCGGGTCTGCGTGGGTAACATCGAGGAGTATGCCTTTGTTGCGGTTAAAAGTCATTCGAGATAATGACCAAAGCAATTCGATTGGGGTGTGTCGAAGTCTCAACAGCAGCAGTGAGTGGGAGAAAACCCGGCTGAAGGTTTGTAGAGATAATTGAACTCACAATCCTCCCCACCAGGGCAGAAAGGTTTTGGGGGCTCAATTTCCAGATATCCTTCTCCGGGTATCATCCTGCACTGTCATGCATATATGTGCGCTGTGAAGCCAACAAGATTGCGCTGCCGACATAATTTGGTCCAGGGGTAGCTCCACTGACCGAAAAAGAGGTTAAGGGTTCCATTCACATCTATCAGCACTATTTCAGGATCGACGTCTTAACTCCGTGTTAGAAACTGGGAACTGCGTAAAGCGTTGACGTTCGTGTTCTTTGACAGGGACCACTACTTGTCTTGTTCACAGTAGCAGCGCATGCCACTGGGGGCAGTTCGTTCCTGCAGAAGATGGTGTTGAAATCTAAGTCCGCCATAACCACTCGCCGCGTGTTAGAACAGGTGAGAGTATTTTCCCTTGCTGTAGGGGATAGCTTCTCAAGCTGATCAATTCTAAGGATGGAATCTCGAGCTCCTGCCCTCTGCTGAAACCTCCGCTGCTCGGCTTCTGACCATAGTGGGGGTTGCCTCGCCTCGAGGCACCCTATACCAACAGCAGGAAACAGGGTTTGTTTCCGAAATCACCAAACAATTCCGTAAAACTCGCGGGCCAAAGGGAAACTGATGTCTGTTACTCCGATATCATCAGAGGTTGCTACAATACCGACGGAGCATCATATGTATGCTTGATCTTTTTTGTTGACATCGGTTCTGCTTACTCCCATAAGCCCGGAACCCTCGGTTATCTTCCCAGATTCCGACAACGCCCCACCCAAGTGTTGCCTGTTCATTTGGCACATTCGTTGGGCTTGTAGACGCCGTATTTTGTCTATAGCGTACATCCGTAGGGCCACCATGAGCACCGCGGGTGATCTGAATTATTTCAGTCTCTGGCAAGGATGTTGAATGTACACCATATCCCCCCAACCGGTTCGACTCACAAGGCGAGTAGTGAACGTAAGGTTTGTGTCCCTTCTATTTTTTCTCACCACACCTTTGCACCGTAACCCAACCGACCCGCACGCCGCAAAACAACCTCCACTGACAAAAGGAAGGGGAGCCACTCCCACGCACCAGGGTCGGAGCCCTGCGGAGTTTCTAGCCTGCAATCTCACACTTACCCATACACAAACGGCTAGAGGCCCCGCAGAATATATCTAGATGAAGTACGATACAGGGATATATTGGGTGTGCCGAAGTAATACCTGCTGGTTCGAGGGCTCCCAGACGTAAAAGTAAAATCGAGAGGTGTGCTAGCTGAATACTGGCAGGGAAGTCCCAATCGCAGCTGTTTGGGTCGTACGGCCTGTCCAACATGTCGCTCGGATATCGTAGGACCATTCTATCAGGATTCATGTTCTCTACTCTCCGCAGCATCGTCTTGCCCGTGATTAATGTGTTGTCGTGGGCACGCGTGAGACCCAATCCGAACGATCTCACCCGAACTTGCCTGACTGAGCAGGCAGACGAGTACAAGCAAATCTTGACCTGACATCTGTAATGTTTTTCTCCTTGAGCAGGTGGAGCAAGAACTCCGCTACATTCGAACGGTCCGACAAACCGATCACTAGAGTACCCAATGGGATGGGATTGGACCCCAAGCGCTCGGATGCGGTGGTATTGGGTGCTTGCTTGTTTGGTGGCACTTCTGAGGACATCCGTGGGTGCCGGCGGCCGGGCTGATAACCGTGACGAGGATAAAGTTACCATCCACACAAGGGAGTGGGCCAACGCCACCGGTAGGGGAACCCTTCCAGCAATATCAAGGCATGCGTCTTGCGCCGATATTGTTGCTTGGTTGCCTCCCCAATCACAACCGGCGGTGGTGTTCCAGGTTGTGTCCGCAGCTTATGTCAGCGTGCAAACGAATTTTATTTCGAACATGGAGCTGCATTCGACGTTCTCCCGAGAAAACATGTACCTCATTTGTCTAGACGAGGAATCTGTAGAGATTTTCGGGGCTCTGGGGATACGTTGCGTTCGCTTTGGCTGCATGGGTTGCCCAGTGTCACGCCACCACATATGGGCGTTGAGGATTGAAGTCAGCGTATGTCTTTTGAAAGCTGGCATAGACGTTTTGATGTCGGACGCCGACGCAGTTTGGCTCCTCGACCCGATGGATGACTTCGACTCTGATGATTATAGAGATAGCAGCATTGTCGCTTCGAGGGGTGCAATGCCGGTTCCCTTGTTCCGCACGTGGGGGGCGACTATATGTATGGGCTTTGTCTTGTTCCGCGCTGGGAGCAACGCAATTTATGAATTCATGGAGGTCGTGGGAGAGTTCACGGAAGAATTGGAGAATGATCAACAGGCGGTGAATCTAGCGTTGCAAAAGCTCGACGTCGTCTGGGACCCAACGAGTGATATGAGTTTCTCCGACAGCACGCGGCCAGGTGTGGGGGTGGTAACTAGCATTACTAGTGGGGAATCGTTGATAGTGTCTCTTCTACCGCACAACAAGTACACACGAAGCTGCCGGCGAACACCAATTTGCATCGAGACTGTTGTGGCCCACTGCATCAGCACTGACAAAGGAAAAGGGATGGCGACATGGATGAAGGAGGCACACCTGTGGAACGTTCCAGACGACAACGACAGCAACTGATGGGGCTCCGAGGTTATGACGCGAAAGCCATCAACCATTTGGGTAGCGTTGAGACAAGAAACCTCGCTTTCAGAGTTGTATCGCAAGTCGACCAGCGCTTTGCAAGAGTTTGGAGACAACTGTTGGATTGTCAGAGAGCAATAAACTTCGTTGTTTGCTGTTGTAGCGAATCTCACGGATTGAGTTCAGTGGACACGACTGAGTTGGTGTAGAAATACCGACGTCGGTAGCACGGGTGTTGGTGACGCCGAAAGCCGGACGAAAGGCACGGGAGGAGAAAATATATTATCTGCCGAGGACGGAGTACCGACTATACATAGCTCCACGGAGTCGAACGTTCCTACTTGCGGGAGAAGGCGTATGAGAGGGCTGGCTGCTGCGGCATATGCTTGGCACAAATCACCGCCTGCACAACTCCGGCGCTACATCATTAGTTCCACATCTCCCATTTCGAGTCGTAACGTATATTGTGTGGGCACCCAACAGCGTTGCGCTGGAAGGAGTATATCTGCCGGGGTGATTCCCTTTCACACCTCGTGGCAGCAGGTATTGTTGAGTGTTTTTCACTGTAGTAGTGACAATTCGCCGATTGGATTGCTGCACTACAATAGGGCGATCAGACCCAAACGGATTGTGTCACAACGAATTGATTGATTGGCATGCAGGAAAAAAATACTTCACAGACAGGTCGACACTCGGCACGGTTTGATTCCACCAGTCGCGGCTAGTATCCCTTCTGCCTCGCCGCTTCTCAGCTGCTCGTTGCATTTAACTGCTGCTGTAGCCGGACTCCAAGTCGTAGGCATGACAAGTGAACAATTCATTCAGGGCCCCTGTTTTTGAGACGATATGTTATGAAGTTGTCGCGAAATTGGCGACACAAACGATTGAGGCCTCCTGCTCAAGCAATATATGAAATGTATTGCTACACCGGCTACAAAACTAACGACCTCTGCCTTGCAGTAGCTATGATGGATGCAGATATACTTGCACAGCCTCATTTTCGCTGAGGCTGGGGTATTCGGCTGCTAGGGTAATGCCACGAATGGCTATGTATTTTACGTAGGCTTTGGGGTGATGCTTAGTATATCCGAGCCGACAAATGGTGCACGCAAATCACTTCGTACGTACAATCCGCAGGGAAAGTCAGTAGGTGGACTCATTCACGAATTTGCGAGGCTCAATTGTGTACATTCACTGCCAAGGAAGTTTAGTCTACGTCTCTGATTTCTTTTCATCGCGCATTTTCACGATAGACAGATCAGATGCCGCATCGCGTCCGCCTCTCCTTATTGTTGGTCGGGGGGTGGGCGTAGAACCGCAAATGCGCCGCCGGAGGCGACGAACTTTCCGTGTGCGTGATTCAGTGAGTGAAAAAGTGAGTGAGTGGGAAACAAGATGTGTGAACGTAATTGCAAGTACATCTGCAAATCGTACTATACGACCCTCTCTGCTGACGATCGAAAAATTGTCGAAGCGGTGTTTGTTTGTATGCATGGCGAAGTAGTAACTAGTAGAGATTTGAAGGAACGTTCCTGTTTGTGAATAGGAGCTTCGTTAGTGCGTTGCTTCAGCAGGCAAAGAGTTGTGGGTTGGCGTCAACCCTACAACCCAGATTTCCCTGTTCGAAGCAACTTGAAATTGGAGTATGGTTTGGGGCGGCGGTGATATTGTCTTCCAGCAGATTATCTACGTACAATCTCCCACACTGCAGTGTTGCAGTGTTGCTACACCCCATGGGACACCCATGAATCACCCGCGGGTCACCCATGAGCACATCATGGGACAGCCATGGATCACCCATGACGGGCCCATGAAGTACCCACCATGGATGGCCACTTCAACTCATGTATATGTGCAGAATTTGGCCACAGACATACCAACCTACAATAAAAGCTTACAGTAGTTAGCCGGACCTGCACATCAACAACCAAGAACTTAGCTACCAGCGCCTTCCTAGCACGCTTCGTGTTGGGCTTGGAGTCAGGATTAGGGTTGGCGCAAGGATTATTAGCCGTAGTAATGCTTGTTCCAAAGTAGATAACCTGTGTTGTTTTTTGTAAGAGTACAATACACAGGTTCCGGTTATGGGCTCCCCATGAGTTGCCATGGGGCCACCCATGGGCTGCCCAGGGGCTACCTGTGGGCATGCTCATGGGCAACGGTCAACGATGTGTCAACAATGTGCCCATGGGGTGGCCCAGTGGTGCCCATGGGCAACCCATCGGTGACCCATGAGCCCACGGGTGTCTCACGGGCATCTTATCTACATAAAAAAAGAGTAGAAGAGTGGGAGACCCAAAGCCCGCGATAGACACAGCCATGCCACAGCAGCATGCATAGATGTACATGTGGAGCAGTGGAGCTGTCGAACAGGAGCCGCCTCGATGGCATGTATGACATTATCGCGAGACAAACTCTCAGGAGTTTTTCAAGCAGTTGTATCATCCGCCCGCACTCTGGTAAGCCACCAGTCAACGCTGGGTGACGGCTCCGACGCCCAACAGCAGGAGATCCATACCGCCCTGTCCGCATCTATCACAAAAGCGTCTTGAGGTCTTGACGTCTTGACTCGTCCCATCACTTCTCTTTGTTTCTAATTTTTTTCTTCGCTTTTTTTTGTTCTTCCGACTCCCACATGTACAAGATGTGCACGTTGCCCTGGGAACGGATTCATCAGTTCACCCGATCAACCAGATCAATCAACAATTGCTCTGTCCCTCAGCGGAAGATATCTGAGCGAACACTCCAAGGCCACGCACGGGGCACACTGCTGTATTGTCGTACGGTCTGCACGGGTCCATGGCGAGTTTCTTCATATCGTGCTTGGTATTGGCCACTGCGGTGTTTTGCGGACGCTCGGCAGCGGAGGAGGTGGCCCATGGACCTGCGGTGTCCAGACGGCTTCCGGCGATTACACCCAAGGCAACATGCGCCGACTGGATGAAGTGGATACCTCCTCGCTCGGACCCCGCGATCGTGATGCAAGTGCGTATTTGCCTGGAGTTGGCTAGTTAGCACCGGCCGCCAACAGGCAAACCGTACCAATACATCGGCCGCCTTGACTTGATGTAACTCCACCACAAAAAAGCTCAGTTATGCACGGGTGGGTAGGTGATGTTCTCACATCTGTGTCAGGTTTCGGCAAGCAGACATTCTCACCCTCAAAGATGGGTGCTGCCCAATATGCTGACGTACCAGGCGAAACACTACACACATACCCAACGAACGCTATGTGTAGCGGAATGCCTGTCTATTACTGCCTCATCTCATCCAAGCCTTCAGTCTATATGAACAATACAACCGCAAGGGCTGACACCTATGTGCGCAGCCAGCAAGTTGTTCGTGATCGTGATTTCCACAGTTTTTTTTGGTGCTGCCTGCGAGCAATCTTGTTGGTACATTCGGTTCTCAATTTCAAATTGTTCGGGACTCGAGAAAAAGGCCCGTTATTTGTGTGTGAGCTGTGAGCTCACGAAGATTCGACTCGTTGGACCGTTACGTTGCCAGCAAAAAAGTGAGCCACCGAGACAACACCGTGGAAAACAAGAAACATCCCGTCTCCTGTGGTTGGATTTGGACACGGCGGTGCTTTCCCTTTCTTCTGGTATTCCCTTTCTCGTGGCACATGTACCCATCGGCTGACTTACTTATACAATATTTCAGCTCCAGTTCGACTTGTATGCCGCTGCTGTGGGTTTGATTTTATGCTTGCTGGTTGACTGAAAGTCTAGAAGCCGCCTATTCGCAATCGGCTATCCACGAATGCCGAGCGCAGTGGTTGTACCCAACCTTCCTCGATAAGTTTCGGCGAGTGGTATGAGTGGTGGTGATTGCCACAGGGGGAAACAGGGTCTCGGATCATGTATTCACACAATCGTCCCTATGCTTCCATAATGCTTCAATTACCGTATCTGTCTTCGCCATTTAAGGCTTGTATCATAATATAGTCCATATTCCCTTCGAATACTTGGCTTTAGTGCACAGAAACGAATTGTTGGGATGCCCAGACACGTGTGATCGTGTCATGTGCTTGGTCTATGCTTTGACTATTGTACGTGTCTACAACGTGGCCTCTAGACTACAGCTTTGGGGTCATGTATATCTTCATGTATATGATGTGACCGTCGGACATCATGTGTCTTGCTGCAATTTTCTTTACCGGCCCTCGCGCTTTCCCTTTTACGCGCCTGCCACCAAACTGCTGACTCTCGCTTGCACCGTTTCAGGTTGTGAGCAGGCACTACTTGGAATTGGAGCGAAATTTTATTCGGCTGATGGAGCTCAACTCGGCCTTGACCCGCGACCACCTATATCTCATGTGTATGGACAACGTGTCGGTGCACTTCTTCGAATCTTCCATGAATATCCGCTGCATCCCTCTTACCGCGTTCGACTTCCCGTCCCATGCGGAGATCTGGGTTTTGAGGGCCCGTGTGGTGTCTTGTCTGGTGAGCAGGGTGTGTCGTTGGTCTGGGTGCAGTTGTCCCGCGGATGCACAAGTTTTCAACATCCATCAAGATCTGACCCAGCAGGCGCGCGTCTAGTCCTATTTTCCATTTGTGCAGGCACATTTATTGGAACTACGGATACCACTGCTGTGGGTCTGCCATGCTTTCCTGCCCGCCTGAATGCGGGAGATTTGGATTATCACTTGCTCAATCTCCTGCCCAAGGTTGTGTGCTAGATTTTTACCGTTTCATATTTCTTGCGAGAGCAGGTACATGCAGGAGTGAGTGTAGTCGATGGAATTTCGTGTTACACAGACACTTTGTACTTGATACCAATGGAAATAATAAGGAAAATCGTCCCGCCATTCCCTCCATAGACAGGCTGGAGGTGGTGCATCGCGCACAACACCATTTGATTTGTACCTCTGGCCACCCGTGACGCGGACTTGGCCGAGAAGAGTGCATTACTTCTGCGCATCCTGATTGCAGCATACACCTTCTTCTGCCCACCCTGCAGGTGGAAGCGGGCCAAGATGTGATAATGTCCGATGCAGATGCTCTCTGGCTGGACGACCCGTTCAAGGATTTCAACCTTCCTCGCGTGATCGACAGCAGCGTCGTCGCGTCCAGGGGGAAATTCCCCAAGCCGCTTGGTCTAGAATGGGGGGCGACGATGTGCATGGGTTTTGTTCTTTTTCGAGCGACAGGGAGAAGGGTTGTGGGAGAATTCCTCGAAGTCATGGATGCCCTGGTTCACAAGAACAAGGATGACCAGATCTCGGTGAGTGCGTGAAAATGTGCAAGGTGTGAACATGAATGAAGCATATGTCTGTTTCTGTGGAACGTCATCCCCTAACTGCAATTGTCATCACACCCAGCTGTGCCGTGATGGTCATGTGACGAATGAATCCTCCTTTGCCGACTGCACTGAAACTCAGGTTAATCTGGCGGCAGAGAACCTGGGGATAGTGTGGGACCAGGAGAGCGACATGCGATACGTAGAGAGTGACTCTTTCGGCTTCGGGACCATTGACACTCTTGTCGACGAAAACAATCAGCCATTCTCGGTGACGTTACTGCCGCACAACGCGTACACCCGCGTCTGCGACGAGACACCAATTTCCAACAAAACTGTCGTGGCGCATTGTTGGGCACCTAAGACAGCCGACAGCAAGACTGGTTGGATGGTGCAATCTAAGCTCTGGTTCAGTGACAACGAAACACGCTGAGATGAGGGCAGCGGAGAGTCGCGCCAAAGGCAAAGATCTGGTGTCTGACACCAGCATCCGCTGTGTAATCCATGGTGAAAGAGATTGGTCCAGTCGTCGAGGATCGAGAGCCCATGACGTTTGCTACGGACTAGGCGATTGGCTGCATCTATCTGCAGTCCGTGCTGCTACGCGTAGCTTCACGTAGATCATGAATGATGGGAACGTACCACCTTCCGATATTCGAGGCCCATGGGAGTTCGGTGGTCTAATACGGTAGATGGTTCGGCACAGCCGGAATTCTGTCTGCTAGGCGTATGTACGGCATACACACGCCACCGTAACGACTGCCTTGTCGTCAGAATACAGAAAGTGTCAAAATGATGACATGTAAATGGGTAGGAAAGCGGCTTGCTGCGCAACGTCATTCTGGTAGGCAAAGGAACGTATCATTTTTTTTGTGTTCGCCTGTGAAGTTCGGTGTCGGACGATTGAACCTGATTTTTTGTGGAATGGTAACGAAAGTATCACTTTGTGGGGAACCTCTTGTGTGGCATGCCTCCCGGCCATCCAAGAACGCGTGGTGGGTGTGAGAATGTTTGGACGTCCTTGGACGGTGCAGTCCCTTTCGTGCAGTATTGGGGAGTGGTATCGTATCATCGGACATTTCCCAATTCATCACCGCTGTTCTCGTGTCGCAGCGGGGGCATGAGCGCGTGGGGTACCGTAGAGTTCGCAGAGCAATAGGCGACATGCTGGCCAAGCACTGTGCTCAGTTCACGAAACAACGTGCAAAATTTCTCCCGCACGAGGTACCCCTTTTGTCGGGGTGGGGGGGGGGGTTCCCACATTCAACCAATACAACGGCGAAGATCGAGAAGGAGAGCTTGATTTTGCGTTTTCGCCCTTTGTTGCTTGCCTTTCGTGAAGTGTATGGTTTTCCCGGCGGCCATGTCTTTTTTCGGACCCAAACTTCTTTGGGTTTCGGACGAACAATGTCGTAAAGCTACAGTGGCAGTACTTTTCCGATTTGGCAATATTTGCAGTTATGATGTACGAAAGAAGCCTATCTGTGAGACGAAGTGGGTTTTCCTACGTATGGTGATATCACGGGTAACATATTTTTCTAATTCGAGTGCGGCGAATATCTTCTTGTCCGTCCTGTTAAGAGACGTTGTCGGTCGTACTTGGTTTTGTGCTTTTGGTGAAAAGTGAAATGTGCTTGAGTTGGAAATTCTCATCGCAAACGGTGCAATCTCCCCAACGTCCGTCGAGGCCCGATTCACTCTTGTTGCATTAAGGGACGGAGATAATCTGATTTGGGTGGGAGACAAAACCGGGTTCAAACTTCCACGAAATAAACATATGGTGTGTATGACCACTAACATACGGTCGAACTGCTAACGACCATTTGCCGGCCGTTTCATACTCACCCGTGCAATAACGCATTGACGATTGCACAGAATTGTCAAGATGGCAAATTACAGTGCAGTATTCTTTGTATGGTACAGTAGTGTTTTGGCCAGCTACATGCCGAAGCTTTACATAAGAGGGACACGTTAATTTCCCAGAGCGTTCATCAGCATGGGAAAATGCGAATCCACGTGCCCCGAAACCTTATGCTCAGAGCAACGTGGAGGGCTCGCGACGATGGTGGTGTAAAAATATACTCAGGGGAGGCAGCAAAGCAGCACTGGCACCACTCGCTCCCGTATTGCAGCGAAATGTTGTCTACAGCCATCTGCAGCGTTCACTGCTCTACATCTGTTCCTCAAGAGACTCGTCTGGCATGCTTGCACACAAGTGAAAGATGTATTGCTATCTGGACAATCCTGTTGACTGGACGGCACTGAAGCGCACCACCAGGATTTTCGTTTTCTGCCTTGCTGCTGTATATGCGTTTGGGCCATGGATTTTCTGCAGTGCACACACAAAATATATAGACTACTTGGTTTCCTCAAGAGTGGTAGTTCGATGTGTTGGTTAGACGGTAGGAAAATTCCTTGAAACCAACCTCGAAATAGTCGCCAAACGTCTGGCCCAGTATTATGTAGCGTGGTTGGAAAAAATCGATGCATCCAAGTTGTCGAAGATTGTGACCCATAGAAATGTTGGGAAGCAAGTCAGGGAGTGAAATACGCCGAGAACCAAGAGGCAAGAGGCACCGAGGCGCAACTGCTTAAGCTACTTATTGTGGATCGTTGGGTAAAGGCCTAGCTGACACCAACGGGTACACCACACACGAACCGGCCTTGGTAAACGTGAATACAACAGTCTTCTTCGTTTGCTACCGTTTCTGTCACATATCCGGACAGCAGCATAGCCTCCCCCCATGACGCCGCCTGACGAGGTTCCTCAGACCATGGCCAATGAAAGCATATGTTTCTGTTTTTAGCCGCACTAAGACTGACGTATTCTCAACGGTCAGTCGGTTCGCGATGTGCAAGCATAGGAATCAAGGCACACGAGAGACCCATGAACATACATCTGAGCTGGTCCTACACTAGCTCCTGCTGATGATAACCAGCAAACAGGCGAACGAACCGATTCGTCTGAGCAATAACCGCAAGTATTAGGTTCGAACCAACTAATCGCCCGAAGATTCTGATCCAATAGACTAGACTACCTAGATCGGTTGGCAACATCAATGGGACTACTAACGTATTTGCACAGGGTGCGAACGGTTTGTGAGATTGACAGCAACATTATGGAAGCAACATATGCGCGATGCCGTCCTCAGAGAATAAACAGCGTGGGTGCTGCCTATACCTTCAAGATGCCTTGCTGCAACGCTTGGTGCTTGGAGAGACTTCGCACCAGTTGCAACAACAGGGGCAGGGGGAAAGCGGAGGCAGCGCCACAACCGTGTGGCAATCCGTGTGAAAAACATCACCCTTCAAACTCACTCGATACTTGACCAATCAGGTTTACAATACTCGGTTTCAACAGGCATTGCGTAAGGAGAGTTGCGGAAGTAGAGCATCTGTGCCGTCCCTTGTCCCAAAGTCATTTTGCTTACAGGTGTCGTACTGAATCCGATCCGGTCTGATACAATTCCGTGTCCCCATACACAGTTCTGTACCACTTCGATATTTTTCGTGTTTCGGCACAACTGGCTTTTCGGCAACATGCTTTCTCATGGTTCCTTCTCAGGTGCACAGAGGAGGTTTGTCGGTGCAATCGTGCTGGTATTGGCCATGCCCTCTTGCGTCACCCCCAGGAGGCAAGCCACCAAACTCCCAAAGGGGAGCCCTTTATGATCCTTACGGTTTATCAAACGGCTCGTACAATCTACACTCCTGCGGAGTGATCGGCGCAAATCTTTCCAGTGTTTCTTTCGCCCATGTCTCGTCGTTGCACCTGGGAACCACGAGGGAAATAGGGGGCAGCGAGGCAGGGCGTGTCTCGAATCATGAGAATCGAATCATACACGGGTCAGATGTCCAAGCCTAGTTCACTCCCACCAAATCCTTTGTACACAAAAACCCCAACGTTACCGCCAAGTTGTGGGAAAACTTTGCCGTGGACGACCTGAACAACAGCTTCTCGGAGCAACGGTGCTATGTAATAGGACGAAGTCTCCAGAAAGCGACCAAGACAATCACGATTTCGCCCCGACCCTACCAAAGCTACACCCCCCGAGTAGATATCCAGACCTACCTGTGATCCAGCGGCTCGTAGGTGGCCAGCTGTGCAGACACTAAGGGGTGGTGCAACAACCCCGTTTCCCTCAGTCGTTCGCAGAACTTGGCCGAAATAAACTCGTGAAGAGCTTCGTCGACCGCGTTGGCGCTGCTGGCCGCCTCCCTCAGCTCGGGTGTGATGTGCTTTATCCCTTCCTCGTGCTTCGCGCCGGTGTTTTGGCGCGAGCGACCCGAGGCAGCCGGAACTTCGAGCGGCGCGGGTGCATCTGCATCTCCGATCGACGGCACTAAAAAATGCCACCGAGGAGGGAGAGAGGGGGGAGGGAAGGAGGGAGAGAGCAGCCAAAAGAAAAAGGGACAGCAATTGTGGGATTCGTATGTGAGAATATGGCAAAAACACGAAGAAAGCTGCTCTGAAGAATATGCCCCTTGGTGAATATGTTCTCATTATATATGGCCACGCGGGGCGCACTCACAGGAACCTCTGACGTTCAGCTGCAGCATATACTGCTGTCCTTTGCGGAACACCGTGGGAGGGCGAAAGAACATACTTCACGTGGAAAGGACACCTCGTGGCGTTCTCGACGGTGAAGAGGACCGAAGAAAAAAATGAAACACAAAATCTCACCAAGGAGGCGGTGGTCTCTACGTTTTCGTCGGGTCTCTCCCCGACAAGCACACATTACACTCAATTTACGGTAGCCATCTCGCTGGAATTCACGACGTCGGGTCCTCAACAACCTTCACGAAAAAATGTCAATAAGCACAGATGTCGCTCGATCATTTCTTTGTGAGTTCAGCGATACAATTCACGACTCGGTCGTTATGCACCGGCACGCCTGTCACTACACGACAAACTCGTGTGGTTGTCAGCAGCAGAACAGTGGAGGCGGGGCTGTATTGAAGCCAATGGAATGTATGAAAAGTACAACAACGACGGCGACCGACGCAGGTACAGCATCCTTCACGATAGCTAAATAAACTCTACTTAACGGCATTAAGAATGCTCTGCACAAACCACACCCACGTTGACGGTGCTGGCGCTTCGGAGCGGGGAAGAAATCTGCAGTCGGGCCCAGCCACGGCAAGGTCTCGAACAATAGAAGGACGGACGAATCCCACGTCTCACTAATGTAAAATCGAGGGAGGGCAAGACGGCGGGCGGGGCCAGGAACATGATGGGTTTGAGGGGTATTGTTCGACGAGCACTCGTTTTCCCCGGACATGTCACCGAGGAGTTCGGTCGCAGGACACCTTGCCCTAGACAGGATGCCGTGTTCCACAAAATGGCTGCTGTTGGCCGAGGTTTACGTGACGAACACCGGTACATATAAGGTATCATTGTACTGCGTGTTTTGTGAAATGCGTCACACAAAACTGACAAGGAAAGTCCTTGACGGGGCGCAAGACACCGACCACTCAATCACGTCACGCTGCAAGGTGCGACAGTTCCATAGGGTGGGCGGTCAAACAACGGTACCAACCCAAACGAGCGGACGATTTGATAGCGCCCCGCCCGGACGATAACTCTTACCCGCCTTTGTTGTATGCAGCACCATAACATCCAAAGACGCACGGCTTGTCACTTACCACATGGTGACGAAGTTCAAGTTGCACGCGCCCCTTATCACGGACTCCAGGTCTTCGACGCACACGCCCTCCCCGCCTTCATCCTGATCCTTGTCCATGCAGAGCCTGATGCCGCCTTTGTAAGCGTCGTGGCCCGACACCATTCTCGCCGCGATGTTCTGGAACTTGCGAGTAGTTATCATTTTCTGAAAACAGGCCTCGTAGTCCTGCGTGTGGTTTGAGCGGAGGTGTGGGAAGGCGACGGTGCTGAACTCAGTGGTTTCTTGGCGTGGCTGGAATCAACTGACGTAACACCAGCGCATAGAGCAAGGACTCAATCCCCCGTAACCTACTCGACGAACAATACCAAGCTTGTCAGGCCCTAGGCCAAGGTCAGGCACGAAGTCCTGAACGATTCATGTTTATCGTGCCAATGAGTAAATGGTTTCTTGTTCGGCCGAATATCAACGAAGCGCTAAAAATAAAAAACAAAAATATCAGCATCAAAATCGAGCTCTGATTGGTCGAAATTCTCACACCTCCTGACGACGCCCTTTCATTTTCTGGAAGTTCCTCTCTCTGGGAACAAGTCCCCGAGGGAATTTTTTTTTATCAAAATCAGAAACCAAAGAGGCAAGGAGTTCAAGACTTCGAAGGCTTGGAGCACCTGCCGCGAGGCCGCTGCAAAGCAGGTGTACGACGTGACTTGCTGTACACTGCTTATAGAGGGGCTATCGGCACCCTACCACCGAGACCATGGCCATTATATGTAGCCAGAAGACTCTGCTCGCCGGCACGCCAAAAACCGGGCCGGCTGTTGGGTACCCGAGGAGAAAATGCCGATCATGACAAACCGTGAACGGACTGACGATCAGAACAGGGCTGCGCGGCTTTTTCGGGCTGTTTCGTGTGGGAGAGGGTAGTTGCAACCTTTTTTCTCCACACTCACGATACCCTAAGGCATCGTACCTTGTACGAGATAGATGGTGGGTAAAGCTACCTCCCGTCGCGTGGCATTGCTAATGCTGTTGCTTCCTCCTTCGAAGAGTTATCGCTGAAAACTGTGAGCAGACGTTCGGCACGAACTTGAGCTAGCCGCTCTCTGACGTGGATATTATAGGGTCAAACAAAAAATCCCTATACCCACGATAATCCCGGTAGCAGACCTTGGGCTTCAAAGATGGAGCAGAGAGGTACCTCCCGCTGCGGGGCGTTGCTTTTGTTTCCTCCTTCGGAAAGTTATCGGTGGATAGCATATTTCGTGGCGGCCCGAAACACCGAACTTGAAGTGACCGCTCGCAACCGCTGGCATTTTTGCTTCAACAAAACCTTTATATTCCGGCGCATTTGGCACCTCACGGCGCCAAACCTTGGCATTGCCCAACAGCCCATGTTGCCAGCTCCTTCCGGATAGCGTTCTTGAGGCAACTCGCTAAGTATTTGGCGAGACATCGGTTAACACGTGAACAGAATAGTGCAAAACCCACCCTAGAAAAATCACCGCTGCGCTGCTTGCTATTTCCCTGGCCTCAGGTCTTTTTGATTTTTCGCCTCATCCGTCTCCTATCCTCGTTAACATGGTCGACCATCTTCTTTCAGTTTTCCACGAAAACCCATTTTGATTTCGATATTGTGCCCTTTTTTATTTTGATTTATGGCTCTTGGTTAATATTCGCCCTAATAGGCCTATAGTAGGCAGTCCTCCTGCTGCCGTGGCCGCAGCGCGTGACAAAGCTCTACGAATGTAATTCAATGGCCAAGCAGGAGTCAACACACAAGTCGGCAACAACACAGGAGAGGACAGCATGAGGTGAGTGCGAGATGATCGTTGACCTCACCTTGAGCGAGCATTGAACAGCCGCCTGCCTTTCGAATTATGTGTACATTATGGGGTACAATCCCCCAAACTCGATCTGAAAAGGGTGGCATCATTTGCTGTGATCGCCAGAGGAGACTTCCAATGCCCGAAACTGTCGTGCACCATTCTCAGAAAAACGCGGACTTCATCCAGAATACCAATTTGCCGCACAATTCGAGTTACATCGATAACAGCGGTCAGAACGCAAGCAATCATCAGCCCTCTCACAAGAACGCCCCTTGGAGCAACTTGTTGGCGGTAAACTTGCAGGGTTGAGGCGTGTGCAAGGGTTTTCTGCCCCCAAGTTATTCGAAGCGTCCATCTCTTTTGATCCATCTATCTGCCTGCCTCGCCAACTCATGTGTGGTGGCCAAAAAACCGCTAAGGAACAAGTCAGGGTCACGACAAAGAGCGAGACAATACAGCAGGTTGGGTTCCAGGTCAATCTCTCACCACATCGTCCTTCCATGCGCACGGAGGAGAGTGCGGATCCGTGTAGAAGAACCCCGAGACCATCCGGTCCACCACACCGCGGATGTTGGCCATCGAAAACACGCTGGGGTCCTCCAGCATCGCGGTCGTCGTCGGGTCCATCCTGTGGCTGGTGCACCCCGTCACCTGCGCAGTTTTGGTTGCAGTGACGAGGAAAGTCAGACGGTGTGTTAGGTTGTTTTGTCGATTTGGCGAGTACCGAAACAATTTCGTGGGGAACGGTGGCTCGCTCTGACATGGATCGGGACACAGGGGGGAACAGGTGTCAAGAGGCGTTTGTCGCGGAGACACCAGGCTGAAACCATGGTGTGCCGAAAGGTCGAGATAACCATCTCGAACGTCTACCAGGCGATCTCCCAGCCAAAGGAAGCCCACACACTCCACAATTTATGCACACATGAAAAACGAAAGGTCGTCTTGCAAGAGTTGGGATAGGGGGCACAGTTTGAAATACAAACGCACTCGACGGTTGCATGAACACCTCACCATTGGGCACATTAGGCCTTCCAGCGGGCAACTCCCGGGAGGGTCTCCGGGGAACCGGCAGCAAGGGCCTCGAGGCACGCATCCGCCGAGCCGCCGTGCGATGACGCTGGCCTCGCTGCTGCCGGCCTTCGGCACCCTGATGAGCTTCGCAGAAAACACGTGGACATTGCAGGAGCGACGACCGCACGAAGTTGTTGTAATCGCACAGGATTGTGAGGAATGGAATGGAGGGGGGCACGAGTAGCACATAATTGCAACAAAACTCCAGCTTGCGTCTCACGTTCAAAAGCGGCGAGCGGAGGGCGTGTGACAGAAGAAAGGCAGGGTCAGTGGTGCTGCTTTGCCTGGGCATCGAAGAGGTCAACCGGTTTCGCCAAAGAGCACGTGGATGATGAAACCTGTTCGACAAAGCTTCATCTAAGGGTCGAACACAGAGCACTCCGCCCCCGATGTCGATACTAACACTCCTATCTCGAGACGGTGCGGTGCTTGGTTCTCAAGCTCTAACCAGACCTCCGCTCAAGGCGGCAAGACTCGTATAATATGCCATGCGTATGAAGCATACTGGCACAACGATTTAGTTTTTGCGGAGTCGTTGCCGTGAGGGGGTAACGAAAGAGGGGGTGCTTGCGCAGCTCTTGTCATGCATCGCACTTCGAGACCTATAGGGTGGTGGCGGCTTCCACAGCATCACCGTCCTCAGCAGCCCCAAACGGCCTCCATCTGGAGTGAAAGCAACTCTGTGCGCTGCGCAAGGCAGTCGGAACCACCGAGCTGTCGCTATACTTCTCCTCCAACGAGAAAGATGCGCCGCGGATTTTCTGCTGCCCGCACCGCGAAACAGTGTATATGCACCGATTCTGGCTGACGGACGGAGTCGACAACTTCCATCCCAACCCGTTATACAACGATACCCTGGGTGCGTTCATTCGCTCTAGATGTGCCAGGACGTTCAACTCTTTTCGCTTGTTCACTGCCGCTGAGACAATCGTACTCCAAATCAAGCCTGGACGGAACAGAACCTGCCCACCTGCAAGCCATCGAAGGCGAAGGCGTTCTCCTCGAAGGTGGCCGGCCTGCCGTTCCGGGCCTCAAAGCGCTCACGGGCGAGCTCGAGAAACGTAGAAGCCGTAGATTCTGTTCTCCGAAAGCAAACGAGCGCGGGAACGAGGACGCGGCAAAGGCAAGCAAGTCAAGACAATTGATATGAACATGCACGAATCCCAGCGATAAGACCTGTGGTTGAAACAGGGGGGCCGCCACAACCGTCGACACACCAAAGTGCATAGTGTTGGGGAAATCATAGTCACGTTTATGGTTTTGAAGCTGTGGTAGCAGAGAATAGGAGCGATTGCTTCAGTGAATTCCCGTTGCACGGGTCGCTCATCTGGTTGAACGCGGTGCACGCCAAGCGGTCCAACAGAGGTAGGTACCCAACGAAGAAGAAACCGCATGCTGTCGAACAACCAAGAAGCTGGCGTTCGATATGTAATACAGAAGAATAACGAACACTCCGCTTTAAATACATCGTTAACATATCCCCTCGACCATAATCGTTCGATACATAGATGAATTTGGTGTGAGTTCGAAAGATAACAAACCAATATTGTATATATATCATCTTAAACTAGATAAGAAGTTGGCGTGATTAAATTCGCCCTGGTGGCTCGGATGTCTTGGTCGGGACTCATACAAAATGATTTCAAAGACGTGCTCAGTCTGCTGCCTCGCTGGTCCTGCCTGAAAAAGAAAAAGAAAAATACCTTGCTCGCCAGCGTCGAACGCTTGCGACGCCGCGATCACCAGCAGTCCGGGGAAACAACACCACCTCATGCCGTGCGGTGTATAGCCAGCAGATCTGTTTGTGCCGGCGTACAATGGCAATCGTCGAAGGCAGCAGCACGGGCGGGAGGGCGAATGACGGCGACTTCTCGGAGATAAGCTTCAATAAAGACTACAGGTTTGTTGTGAAAAAAAGAGCGCGTCACGGGAGCATGCGTGGAGGACACAATCAAGCATAGCCTGGACCTTTGCCAACACACGGACGTCACGGGTCGCCATCGTTCTAGCCGGCGTTACGGACTTTGAGCAGTTGTAGAAGTCAACGGGCCCGGGTGCGGAGGTGCTGCGTGGTTAGCGATGTCTGGCGACGTTGCTGCTTGTTGTGCGGACGGATTGTATGGTCCACTCCCCCCTGTCCTCAGCTGCTGCTGTGTGTTGCGCGCTGTGTATGCACGAGCAACGCATTCCTACCACGGTGCTCGTCTTGCGGTTGGAGCGTTGTAGGGCGAGACCCAGGTGATCGGGTAAACAAGGCTTTTCCACCCCATCGGTGGGGTGTATTAGCATTTCCCCACCGGTTGGCTTATGTACACGTGTGCATCTCGATTGTTGATATTGGCTCGTTATTGTGTTCCATGTGCACATGGATGTGTCGATCAAGCAAGCAAGGGGCTGATGCAGAATGTTACATGATCTGCGTTTGTCCTCCATCAACATCTTCACATGAATCAGCAGCGTAGGCATTCGCTCGTAGTCTATCGGGTCGGAGACAAGAGAACTTTCACGCTTGGCTCTATTCTCATACTTACTTTAATCAAAAACAGAGAGAAAATAAACTCCCCGCCGGAGGAACCCGATACTGAGTACTATCATCGGTAGAGGACACTATCCAGAGGCGTCTTGCGCGCTGGAACGCTCAGCTTTGGTACTGGATATAAAATATCGAAGGTCGCAGCGGCCTCTGAAAACCAGTCCAAAATCTGGGCCGAAACCAAGCGGAATCCAACACTTTGGAGGACAACGCACCGAACCAACACAAAAAGCCTACAATATAGGAACCCCCCGACACGCCTTGGTATAACGGTATGTATCATACATGACTAGCACTACTATTATGTATGTAGCATACGAATAAACGACCAACGTATGCAGCAGATAAACAATTCTCCACCTTCTTAGTTTTCCATTTTCGTTGGGCGACAAAGAACAAATCGCACCTTGGAGGACATTTCTCAATCTCCCACAATACGTACAGCTTTGCTAAACCACCCATCCGACACCCATCGGTGACCCATGGGCCGCCCATGGGCGATCCCATGGGCGGCACATGTACTGCCCACGAAGTGCATATCGTGGGCACTTCTACCTCGAACTCGCCACCGCTATATCAACCTAGACCATCGCCATCGGCACACCAACCTACCAAGGACGTGTCTTGTGGGCTTGGGGTTAGGGTTAGGGGTATCAGCCGTAACAATGTCCGTTCCAGCGGAAATAAACCATTGTTTCGGAGTACAATGCACTGGTTCCGGTCGAAGGGCACTCATTAGCCGCCCACGGGCTGCCCATGGGCTACCCATGGGTGTCCCATGGGCGGTTTAGGACAACTGTAGAAAGTGTGGGAGAGTCTTGTCATGTTTCTTTTGCTGACAACTCCCAAGTCACACACCCCAGCGGAGTTTATGGGATACGTTTTGATCACGCGCCTGTTGCTGCTGCTGTGGTAAGTCGTTCTTCATCCCAATACGCGTCGATTCCCGAACCGATCACAGGCCGTCGTAGAGGTGTCACTTAACATCGGTTATACAAGTTTGGAATTGACCCATCGTCGTGCATTGCTAATTCTGATACGGAGGTTTTTCGCCGTTACAATATTCGCGCGCGCAACACTGTAGTTGCGCCGCATTCAGAGCCCAATTCTCACTCCCACACTCGCTCACAGACTCTCCTCTTAACGGCAAAGCAGTTCGATCTGCAACATAAAGCACAGCAAAAGCCACCTGCAACACGCTGTGGCGTCCTCAACTTCGCACGTTGAACAAGAGCTTCACCGCGCAAGAGTAGTAGGGCAAGCCCTCGTCATCACAGTTGAGAACGGGCAAAGGGTCAACATCTTTCTGAAGGATTGAACTCCAAGGGAGTGTCATGCCTCACGGTGATCATCGATGGCTTGACGGGACCGACGGACCGACACAAACACATTTTTTTCACCACTCGATCCAAGGAACGAAGAAAAAAAATCTGCCAGCCTCACAAGCATCGCGCATCATACCAAACCAACACAAAATCCTCTATCCTGATTTGTTTGTGTCACCACCACGGACCGTTAAGCCCTGAACGGGGGGGTGTCTGAAGTAGCTATCTACAGCAGTAGATTGGGATAAGTGGCGGCGAACGCAAGCAGTACAAGACGCTGGATGTCGGCCAATTTGCGGAGGTTTGGGTAGATTCCAGGCCACTACTACTATGTAAGACCCTCGGTATCACCAGCAGAAGCAGAGTTGAGTACGCCAACACCCTCCCCCCCCCCGCTGCAATAGGGTGTCCTCTAGTGATACCAGTCTGAGGTACAGATACTTTGCACAATACCGACCTTTGTTTGAGCGCCTGCCGTTGTGGCTCTTTCGATTTGAACTAGGCGATGTGAGTTGATATATTGATTTCAACGGAGGCGTGTGGAGGTATGTAGACGGGTAAAATGTATATTTTGAGCAGCCTCTACGGCCGCCTTGTTTGCGAGCATCAACGAATTCTGATTTTCGCGATCCCTTCCGACTGGTGTCGTGTGTCTGGTGCGCATTTTCTGGTCCAATTGCGCTGATTTTCCCATTCAATTAAGTGTCCTTACCGGAGGGAAGTGTCCTAAGTGAAGATTCAGGAGTCGACAACTCGTCATCCCCGTTGGCAATGGAGGCGTGCGATACCTCAAACGATGCGTCTTTCCCAAGGGAGTAGGAACATGAACGAACACCATGGACAAGGCTGCGAGAAACCTGGGGTTTCGCCAAATGTGTTCAACAGACTAATGTATTAGAAATATTAAGTTGTCTGCTTGCAAAAAATGTTTATTGACACTACTACTGTACTTCCCCCACAAACTAACCTGCACGACATATAGTCGGCCGAGGCAGAGATTGACCCAAAACACGTTGATACCGCTCATACATACTACCGCTGTCGAAGCAGGAAGACATTCTCTCTCCGTCCACACATCGCGAAGAGTTGGCTTCAATTTTCCCCCGTCCTTCGCTCTACCCTTTGCCTGTCAGCTGAGTTTCGTGTGAGTGAACGAATGGACTGCTCTCAAAAGCAGGAACTAGTAGTGAAATCTTTCCCGTTCGCAAAAAAAAAAGAGCAGAGTTCCTCAAAACGGGAACGGACCTCGGCCTCGGTGAGCGAAGATGGGATGCACGACTCTGGCCTACTGCCGGCACCGTCCTCGTCTTCGTTCGATGCAGCAATACGATATAATAAACCATGGCCAGGTCTTGCTCTACAGCCTGCCTTTCCAACGCTACCTCGTCTTCGAACACGAGGTATCTACCATGCAGCTGTCCCCACACACAACAAGCAGGCCGCTCTTCCTGGGGGTGCAGAGGGCACCGAAAGGTTGCGAGTCACCGCACCCACGTGCGACCGTCTATTATATATAGTTCTTCCATGTACTACTTCCATAACATTTTTGCCGTTGAATTTGTGTCGCACCAATGCAGTACATTCTGCGGGGCCCCTTGGTTTCACGGAAAAACAAAAAACGTGCTGTCTTCACCGAGAGGTGTCCTTATTTTGGTGTATGTTCGACTGCTTTGAGCATCAAATTTCGTTGTCTCCGCCCACACTCCGCCCCATTATTTAGTTACCATGGAATGCGACAAGAGGGACCTCTCTTAAACCGGTCGGTATAAGAGAAAGCTGGACGAAAGAAAATACTGCTGACAACTTGTTCTATTTTTCACTGCTGTGCTGCGGTACCATGGTGCGTCGATGGTAGAGATCTGTAGATCTCACATCCAGTCCAACTTCCACACTAAACTTATACTGCTGCCTGTACCTACGTAGCACACAGTTCCTCTTAGTACCGTACAAATAATTGTTCGTTGAATTTGGTTGAATTGAGTTGAGAAACCTCCAAGTTGTTGTACAACAGGCATCCACCAGATGCCGTGACCGCATGTGACACAAGACAGCACACCCCCCCTGGCCCGACAATGAAAGGTTGACTTCTTCACGACGAAGAGGAATCCACAAATATGATACGCTTTCGGAAACATCTCGACGAGACGGATTGAACACGAACGCTGCCATTTTCGGCATCACCTATTGTATGTTACTGGTGTGGAATCGCGCTCTGAAAAATAGTCCAGGGGGTGTGGTATCTTGCGTCAAATATGGTATTCCCGTGCTGAGAGTATACATCACACAGGATCCAGCAGACGGAGCCAACGCAGTAGACCTCTAGGAGCCACCACCACGGATCACAGTGGAAGGGGTGTTATAGAGTCATGTCGAGTGGCTGCAGCAACAGCGTTCACGTCCAGACTTGAAATTTCAAGGCAGTTGGTGGCTTCCGCACAGCACCTCACCTCTTTCCAACTCTTTCCAACGAACAGGACAGGACAGGACAGGACAGACAGGGAGTGATGAACCCGCGGCGCACCCTTACCTTATGTCCAGCGTTCAGTTAAAGGGCACCCTTGTCGGTCGAGGGAGGTCACAGGCGGTCTGAGCTGTTGTACCTGCGCAGTGTACAGGACCCGCTTGCTGCCGTGGACAGAAGCAGGAGCCGTGACATCACCGTGTCCATTCTGTCTGAGGGCGTCCACAACTTCGGAGGAACGTCATCTATTGTTTTTTTTCGAATTATTTTTTTCAAAATCTGTTCTCGGCACAACAAAAATCTCTTGGTCGGAGCTGTGGGAAGTCCACAAAAATCCACAAAAATGCTCTCATATTCGTTGTCAAGAATATAAATTCTCCTATGTTTTGACAGCTGTGACAGGCAGAGCTTGAGAGGGCAGACACTGGGGGCATTCCAGCGATGCGCGACATAGAGGCGGAGAGACCCAACATCAAACGACCGTCAACACGCCTTCACGCCTTCGTCCTCGACAAGACTTCCCTGTCATCCCTACCCGCCCTTCCTCCCACTATGATGAACCAGCGGGTCCGTCGGCCGCCATGTGAGTGAGGTAAAAGCAGTCAGTTCCGAGGCGCGCACTATGAGTGGTTATGACGCGAGTGAGTTTGTACATGTGGGAGTGCTACATTCGCCAAGTTGTTTTGCATTTTGTATGGTAAGGAGGCTTCAATGTTGGTTTCGGGCCGCACGTGCACCATCGTTGTGGAGGCTGCGACCCTCTGCAATCACTAAAGTCCACGGCCTGAGTGTGAGAGTATCATCCGAATTTCATCCGTGGTTGGGCATCGTGATCGACGGTCTCGCGTCTCGCGTGATCGCTGGAGGAAAATAGCTCTTCAGATCTCCGCCTGCTTCCGCTTTGTCTTTTTACCACGCATGCCTCGGAGCTGAAAGCTTTTTTCTTTGTAATGTAATCTAGAGCGCCATTGTCCGCATCACCGCAGTTGTCGATGGAGTAGTTTGACTTGAAACCGAAGTGTTCCGACCTCCGTCGAGTACCATTCAGGTTCGTATAGACTACCTACACACACATCGGTTTACGGTTCTTCCCATTTGATTCGTACCTACCTTTGGAGTGGGACGGCAACGAAAAATATTACCCCGCGTTCACGTGCATGCCAACGGACGTGTTGGCTGCGACGGAAAGACCCGTTTCGGCTCGGGCTGTTGGGGTTGTGGGCGGACGTGGGGAGCCATTTATGTGCAGCAGTAGTGCAGTAGTGTCCATCGGTGCGGACCCGATTCTTTCTTGTGGTCATGAATATCAGCAGCGTGAACGAACCGCCGGTATTAGTTTTAACTAGACTATAGATGTATATCATACATGGTTGTACAGCAGTACCTCAAGCAACTCGCATCCCAGGCTGGTTGTCCGCTTCTTGTGCCGTCTTCGTCTAGAAATATCGGAAACCTGCATCATCTGCTGCATTCATGCAAAACTGCTGTAGTGAATGTTTGATTCCCGTCGCGGCGTAATCCAATGGCAGCTGTTTGTTGTCGTCGATGGGTATGTGGGTTTCACGTGCCTCGCGTGTTGTGTTTCTTCTTCGTGGATGCTGTGGAATCGTACTTGGGCAATGTTGTTCTCTCCGAAGTCCCGGTGTCCTCTCGCCTGTGCCATATAGACCAGATAGTCGTTACAGACGAAGCGCATACGCGTACCACCTACCGCTAGAAAGGGGCCACCGTTCATTACGGCCGCCAGCAAAGGGCCACCTTTCGTTATGGCGTTTCCGAGTATTAGTTTCATGTCTTGCCGCCTCCGCCAAAGCCGTTGCCGCTGACAAGCGTAGTACTGCCTACACTTCTGTAAATAGTACTGCCAAAACAATCACCAGCACATGGCATTGCTGTCGAAGGATTACAGCCATATTCAGATTTTACCGCGTCCGAAGTCGTTACCACCAAACAACGCAATACCGCCTACCACCGAAAAACATGCGGCGGTATGGCGTTACCATTGGAACAAACGCGTTACCTTACCGAATAAACCCGTGGTTGGTTGCAAAGCATTCATGATTGCCGAGGATGGACTCTCGGTGTGGGTGTGGGGATAGCGAAATAACTCGTCTGGGGCTTCTGAGGGAAAAATCAGGATTAATATGGAAAGTTCCCGTCAATGTATAGTCTCAAAATCTTGGGTAATTTGTCTGCAGAGGGTGCAACCTTTGGCTGGGCGAGGCGTGTATTGTCAGTCGTCGATGACATTTCGTGAGGACTAGTCTACCGCTGTAGTCACCCCTCTCTTTGCGAATAGGAACAGCACATCTGTTTACCGGCCCGAAATATATTTATCGGAATTCACGCTGTTTCTTTCGCCGTTTGTTGCTTCCAGCATAATACGTCACAAAGCGGTAAACTTGATTTATCTTGTTCCTACTCAATGTGTCGTCGGAAACTAGTATTTTATCATTTTGTTTCCTCCTTTTTGTGTTCATCTGTCGCCTTAGACGCCATGGGGACAATTTTGCGGAGACTAGTTCTGGTGTGCGTTGCAACTGCCTGCACCGGCCGTGACTCGAGCGACCCCCGTGTTCCGGAGACCGAAGCCGAAGCGATGCCGGGTCGGCGGATGAACCATCCCGCCCGGATCCACGCCAGGAAGTAAGTGGGAATCGTGACTCGTCCGCTGGAAGCCCCGCTTACTCGTGTGTATTTTCTGTGTTCGTTCGTGGTCATGGATGTAACATGCGTGACTAGGAAGGTGCATCGCGGTGGAAGGCGGGCGCTGTTAGTTAATATGTACGCGATCTTGTTGCCACCGAAAGTTGATGATGTGTGTTGACTAATAGTTTCAGGTTGACCCAGAAGCTCGTCCAACAGGATCGCGGCGCGTTGTAGACGCACATGAATATGCATCATTGGAGAAGCCTGAGCCATCTTCATGCAATCGTTGTTCTATCCCATTAAACGAAGGACGTCTTCGTGTATACTCATGAATGGGGGAGAACGTTCCAGAGAGCCGGCGAGGTCGACGTAGGGCCGGCGCTTGGAGCCACAGCGTGCATGCCGTGTTGTCGTTAACCAGCCATGTGTCAACCGAATCAACAGACGAACGTACGGTTCTTGGCCGGTTGTTTGAGTTGTTCCAAGAACTTTGCCAACGTAGTGACTTACCTGACGGCCTAGCATTACCTGGAATACCAACGTCGTCGATGGCAAGTCTGCACCCGTTATGCACCGTATACACGTTTTTTGTTTGGCTTGATCTTCGTCCACAGCGCAAAGATTCTGGCCCAACAGAGCGTCTTGAGGGACCAGGCTAATATTACGGCTGAACCAGTACCGGAGGAGGCAGATTCGATCAAGCCTGTCGCCATACCATTCAAGCAAAAACCCGGTTAGTTTATGCGGTCGTTGGTTTCCCTCGCTGGGAATTCCCTATCTCATTTGTTTCGTTGACAAAACGAGTGTGCCTAGTGTTTGGTTGTCATAAAAAGCGATTTTTTTTTGTTGTTATTTCCAGTTTTCGTCCGGTTTATTTGGAGCCTTGCTGAGTACCTTGGTCTGGTGCAGGTGCCCGCTTCGTGCCCATCAAGTCGGGATGAGTACGTTTGGCGGTAAAATCCCGCGAGATTCAAACCCTCACGCGGACGATTTGATGCTGGGGCCTCGTGTTTGCTTTTTTTCTTGTCTGTCTTCACACGCTCGACAAGCTCAACAGCGGACAAGCAACAAAAACGCGTGTTTTCGTTGACGAACACCTCACTCAACAGGTTGATCAATTCACAAACACCCTTTTATAGCCCCGATTTTTCGACAGTCATCATTGTGGTCGATAGCGTGCTGCTTGGTCGTGTTGTTTTCGCTGAGTGCATCCGTTCTCGTTTGATTATTGCGCGATCAGATGAATTCGGGGAACGTGGACACGGGCTATCTCTCGTCGCCCTCGGCGGTAAGTGCCTTACCTTAGGAACAGTGGTACGCAAGGTGGACGTTAAACGGAGTACGTTGTTCACCACCAAAGGCACTTGGCTCGCAACAGGTAGTAGCCCGAATTATTTTGCCGTCTACATGTACGCGGCAAGTCTCCTTTGCACGCTTTTCGTGTTGTTTTATTAAGGCCGAACGATGTTTTCTGCACCCTGTTCTCATGTTCTCGCTCTGACGCCAATCTTCAGAACCGAAAAGCGGCACGACTTGGCTGGGAAGAATGGTTCCGTCGTTGGCTATCGAGCTATGCGGGAGCGAAAACAACCCGTGGTGAGAAGATTGCCCTCGCTTGCTGCCATGTGATCGAGGGGATGCGAGGACCTTGCAAGGAGCTAGATGGCCGATGGGCGTTGTTTACGAGCCGGATTGCTTTGTTTTCGAAACATTCGAAGTGGCATTTTCAACTACAGCAGCACGTGTCCCGTTGTTTTGTCGTGCCTCGTGAGTTCTGCGCAAGTCCACCGCTCCGTAACAGAAAGCTAGTGGCCAAAATGACTGTTGTTTCTGTTCCATCCTTACTTCGCGGATGACGCCCGACTGAAAGTTTGGTGTTCGCGCGGATCATCTTCGAAGAACGTTTGCAGCCGGAACTCCTCATGATGTACAGAGTTCTGTCTCGGTCTTCATCCTGCTCGATGACTCGTTCCGAATCTCGAGATGCCCGACGTGTGCCCGGAAGCGTGCCGACGTTTTGTGTGTTTTGGGCGACCATGTAGGAAACCTTTGTGGTGATTGCAGGCTGTCTTTCCTCGTTTGCCGGAGGCCGGTTTTCGGTTCTGCTCGACGGGCCGAGTTTTAGAATTCCTCTTTGAAAACATTGCCCAGAACTAGACATGGCAGCCTTGCCCAGATTTTGATGCTCTCGTCCCGAAACTCCGCGACGTATGTTGCAGGTGCCAGCTTGGGGGAGTCGAAGTCTTCCCACATCCTCCTGCGCCGTCTTACGAGTTCGAATTGCTCAACATATCAACCCCGACCGGCAGGCCAAGACTTTTCCTCCACTTTCAGGTGTGGCGATAGCACTGTTATTTCTTGATTGACTGATAGGACGCATGGGACAGTCATGAGATGTCCCATGGGCCGTCCCTCGCGGTCCCATGGGAAATACTTGGACACCAGGTGGGCTGCCAACGACACACGTGCCACGCCTCATTGTAAACATTGAAAATAACGCAAGCAGTACCAGAACCAGAGAGATGTACTCACTGCTCTCAGTTGCGGTAGCGACGCAAAGGGACATCCTCGGCAATCGCAAATCGATGTAGTTGAATGCACATGATGTTGGACATGTGTAACGCTGCTTTGGTTTTAGGTACTTGCTCACTACCGGTGACGACTCTGTCAATTGCGAACGATTGTGTTGTACCTGCCTGAGTCTCCTCTCAAGTGGAAAACCATCACACAAAAACCCAGCCTGTTGTTCCAAGCGAGAACGTTGGGTGCATCCCGGACAACTGAATGTACCATATGACACCTCATTTTTTTACCACTTTTGGGAACCAACCATGACGTCATCAAGCTCTGGTGGAGGGCGGCGGGTTCGCAGGTAGGCTGACAGTTGCGAATAAGTACCACCTTTTTCGCTGCCTCTGGTGCGTCTCGTCTCTTCGCGAACAGGGGCGCATTAAGCACATCATCCCGGGGATGGATCTCGGAATTCCTCTCAAGTGTCGCAATGGAGGACGACTGCACAAGGAGGGTTTCATGGATCTCCAGCCGTGCGATTCAGGAGAATCACCTACGAGGGAGCGGCTCGAATCTTGCCTCTGGAATACGACTAAACGCTGTGTTAACTACATGACGAGTACGGACCCGGCCGTTCGGCGGTGAGCCGATTTGTTGGACGATGGGCGGGTTGTTTCATGAATTCGAAATACTAATGATTGGTCTCCCATGTGATGCTTGTGGTTCCTTACGACGGGCCAAATGTGTGACATATTACCAAGTACACCATTGAGTCGTATCGCGTTGTGGTTTGATTGGATTTCGCACGGTAATCAAAGTTGACGTCGAAAAACTAAACCTAATCCATTCGTGCTCAATAAATCCTTCAGATCAATCGTCCTCTTTCGTGACCCACGGGACGTTGTGATATCGGAGTACAAGATGCGGACCCAGGTGTTTCATAGGGATCCGTGGATCGCGAGCCTTTCGCTGGAGGAGTTCGTTCAGTTTAAGTTTGAGGTGAGCCACATCACAACCGCAGCGTGTTGCGTTGTCGTGAGCTTGCCCCCGCATGGAGGATGTCAGACGGTGCACATACAATACACGAACTCGATTTGTTCTTCCGGGTCGTTTCGCGATGAACGTGAACTCCCTCCACTCGAAGTCAGTCGGTGTTGATGTTGAGAAATGGAAACTGCTCCACTGCTGTTTGTCGCCTAAGACGTTAGACCTTCGACGTGTAGATATCTTGCACATGGGCAACTCTTATTTATCGGCCGAGGTTCACGGTCTCGTTTTTTCCGCACTGCTCCTGTCCATGCAGGTGCTAGTCTCGTGGCTTCACCAGCGATACATGTGGCACACAGGCGATCTGATGGGCCCGTCATCCCACGTCGAGTTCTACGACGAGCTACAGGTGCCAATTTTCATCATTTCCCGACTTGTGTCCGTCGTCCTTCGAAGCACCACCACGTCAAGTGTAACCCCTTGTAAGAGCAGGTCATTCGAGTTCGTCAGAAGTATAGAACCCCTTGTTTCGAATGTTGGTGAACTTGTCAAGATAGCCGAGCCGTTGCCGTGTTTCGGCTATTACGTGCTCATCATCGAAATCTCCCTTTCCTTCCTTCCCCACGTTGACCTGCTCGAGCAGAAGAGCCCTGTTGGATTCGTCGGAATCGCTCGTCTCATGGGCCTCGAGTGCTCCGAAGACCAGGCGTACAAGGTGTGGAAAGCTCACAAGCAGGCCTCTCCCAACGGAGGCTTCGCCACCCGGCTCGGGGAAGCGACTATTCAGTTCATGAACGCGACGATGGCGAGGCTGCTCCCTCCATCCGTAGCGATTCAATGGGGCTTAACGCCGACCGAGCTCTGAAGAGTAGCTGATACCCAGTTTTTTTGGCATTGGTGATGTTTGTAATTCCTGTGAGTGGGCTGCAGCTCTCTAGTCATGTCTTTGGGAAATCAGCTTGAGAAGTGGACAGGTAACAGCCAATGGGCTTTGCTTTTTTTGCATCGGAGGGACACGTAAATGTAAACTTACGTTTTTTTGCAAGGGTTCCTCGGTAACTGTGATTTCGTCAGACACAGGCGGGGGCGGTATTACCATGCGGCGGCGGTTGTTTTTTTTGGTCGGTAGACCTAGTCTTTCTCGCGTTCTTGGCGGAAGCGGTAGAATATCCATGGACGAATAATTTTTGTGGCAATTTTCGGGCGGTTCTCATTCGGCATTAATTGATGTTTCGGCACAAGTAGCTTTTGCTGCGATGCGACTTTCGTTTGGCGGATGGCGGTAAAAAACTTCAGAATCCCGCCGTTGAACCGGTATCGCCCATCAGGGCGGTTATTTCGCGGCGGTAAGATTCCCGAGGAAACCATCCCTTTTCGTTATGTGCGTGATTGCGAAGGGCGGATTGTGTGTTGCGTAAAAAAAGGGCACAGTCAGGAGGGTTGTTCGTATTGAACGTACCGCGTGTTGCACGGAAAGGAGCGGGAACTAGAGAGACAACCATCACTCACCCCGTTTGCCTTCGGCGTGTTTCGACGTCGTCCTTGGGTCGGCGCGAGACAAACATGAGCGCAGCGAACGAGAGTCGGACGGTTTGCGCATTCACAGGTGGCAGGAGATTCCAACGGCGATGGCACCACGGCGTGTCGTGTCGTAGCCGCAGTGCATCCGTTGTGGAAAAATATTTCAGAGTTCTCGACTACGATGAGGCTCTTGGTCCCACATCGCAGCGTCCCGCGCCGTACCTGAAATAGGATCCGTGAGTTTTTGAGACAAGAGAATTAGTCTAATGTGTCTCGATTCACAACATCGTAGCCCCTTTCCTCCCCCGCTTCTTGCCTTCTGTGCGCTGAAGTCGCGGCCGTGCAGTTGCGGCACAAGACAATATTTGAATATTTGTTGCATGGTATCCAAACAGCGCGATGTGCCTAGCAGAGGTACATACATCGTGTGTTGTCCTCATATCGAACTGCTAGCGCCAAAATCGGTAACTGGTAAAGAAAATGGTTCCGACAGACAAATAACTACGTACTGACCCGCGTGTGAAGTGTACTACACTACAAAGTGTTGGGCGCGGGTTTCCATGCGACAGACGGTCACTGCCGCCTCATCACAGGTATTTATGTATGCATTCCTCTAAACGACGCGCTCTATGCAATGGGAAGTCCAAAGTGATAAGTCTCCGGCAGGTTCCCTACCTAGCCCTCGAAAATTAATTGCCAAATGAAATCGAGGTCCCCAGACCGACTATGAGGCAAGACAGGAACAAATTGGAGCAAGACCCAACCTATACAAAATACCATTATACTGACCTCCGGGTGACAAGAAAAAATCCGATGAAAATCAACCTTAAGACCTCTCCGGGTGACGGCCTGCAGGCAATCCTTCTGGTGCGTTGTCTATACGACAGACCCGCAACAACAGCAGTTAGCCTCGTGGACTTGAGTACTACACAAGACTTCCAATTCACAAGAAACGGTAAGATTTGGGATTTTGCAGGGTCTCTTTCCGGTGCGTTGTCAACGTCAAGCTCGCAACACCAGACCCGGCAACTCGGGAGTATCTATAATACGAGGCCTTTCCACGTTCAGCCGAGTTAGGCGAGATATCGAACATCGATACTGAACACACAAAAACATGGGCTGGGCCCATACGACTTGCAAAAATCACATGTAAACAAAAACACCAACATGTCGACATCCCACTAAAGAAATTCAGAGATGATCTGGGTTGGAAGGGCACCATTCTGTGCGATTGTCCACTTCGGTAGCACCAGGAGACCCAGCTACTCGCGAGTATCTATGATACAAGGCTATGGCACCTCCGCGAGTTGACTTAAGTTTCCTATTTTGCACAAACACATGAGCTGGGCCCACACGGCTCACAACCAGTTACGAAGCGCACCACTGCAAAGAACAATCACGCGGGGTACGACGACACTACAATCTTAGTTGGTGCTATCCTCAACAACGAAGACACGAAGATAGCATTGGGCATGCTGTCGTGTATCGCCTACATCCGATGCGTGCTGTGTCAAGGTCGTCAACAGACTGCTCATAATATCGTCACGTACGAAGACTTTGTACAACAACGCGTACAATAGTTCCTGGCGTGCTCTCATCCCCCCAAAAATACCACCGCAACAATCACGTCAGATATCCATAAGAGGAGTATACTACATGGGATAAAACCCACCCATTGTCGGTCATTCCCTTCATACCAGTGTCACGTGAGATCTTCCTCAACGGACTACAACCAAGCAAAAACTCAGACAGTAAGACACTAACGATAGAGGATCGCGCACGCAATCATCATCACCTCGATTCCACCGGTGCGGTGCTATGCATATCATCCTCAAGCATTATTCACCACGAATACGGTAGGAATACAGTACGTCGGGCACATCTCATCCACATTATCTCCATTCCGGTTCTGTGCCATATTTTCCTCAGCATCGTGAGGAGGACATTCCATGAAAGGCAGAGCTAAAAATATGATGTGCGCACAAGCTACTGTGCGGCCGCTACGTAACTATTCACTACAACCCCGAGCAGGTTTCACTGCTGGCAAAGCTAAAACTACCTCGACGTGGATCCGCAATCGCCGACAATTGTTTCCGGTTCATTTGACGCAGCATCGCTGGATACTCTTGACTTCATCCGAGGTGATCATTTCCAGCCGCTGCGCGTCGGTGTTTATCCACTCGTCGTACACGCTGTACTCGTTGAGAGTTGTCTTCCACTCGATGCCGTACACCTGGAATACGAGGATGTCACCAACAGACCACAACAACGACAACAACACGCGACGGTGTCTACAGTAAGACGGTGTCCCCAGTAGGTGACGAAGTCGACGTGGTTCACTTGAGAGGGGCACGAGGCAATTGCCACGTTCCTCTGCCTGTTTTCTTTATTGGTGCAATCACTTAACCGTCGACAATCATTACATCCTGTCGGGTTCTACGTCAAAGTCGGACTTCACAGACACTTTGTGTCATCCCTACTCGAGGCCACAAAAAAGAAGAGGGTACCTCGACGAGCATTGGTGTTCGCAGGGCGCAGCACATTGATCGAGAATCTTTATCCTTACCTCAACGTCTGGCCTGTAGAGGCAGATCCGATCGACGAAGAACGGGCCTCCTCGAGCGCACGACGTAGGGAGGAAGAACCGCTTCGCTCGCGAATGCCTGACCAACAATCGGGTGATGGACGATTTTGCCAGGACCACGTTCTCGGCGCACAGCATGTCCCGGAGATCCGTGTACAAATCGCGGTCCTGGAGTTGGACGTGGTGGATGTCCACACGCAAAGCAAGGCGAAGAAAAAAATCGGTGGTTGTCAGCGGTGTAACGGGCCAGTGATCAACGATAGTGGCTGTGGGAGGACCAGAAGCTTCGAAGATGGTGTGCGGGTCAAGACAGTCGGAGGTTCGAAGACGAGCTTTCCACGAAAGTTGGGCTTCTTTCAGTTGAACAACTGCCGGCGCATCGCAAAGCAAGCCTAGTTTGACTGCGTTTGTACCCACGAAAGACAAATATTAACAAGTGTGTCGACGTATACAGTATCACACAAGCGGACGCCACTAGTTTGGCTTCCCTGCATCTTCAACCCTACGTTACGGAATCAGCCTTCGCTTGTCGGCAACACAACACTTGAACTCTCCTAATCTCCCTCAAAGTCATCGCACCGCATAGAAATTGGCGGGCGCCCCCAAGAGCCCTTGCTTGTCCAGCTCCTGCAACACGCCGAAGGTCGGGTTGAACTCCCTCTGGATCCTGGCGTTTGTCAGGACGGAGATGTTGCTCCATGGCCTGCTGCCTATCACCTTGAGATAGAATTGGAGGGGTGGCTTTTGGGGGCCACGGGGACGATGGGAGGTCGGGCCACAAAAGGAGGGAAGCGTCGTCAGTACATGCAGGGTTGGGGGGTGGCTTGCACGATTACGCGGGTGGCACGAGCCGAGCATTGCTCTTGTTGTGTTGAAACCCGACAAGAGATATCTTGATGGCCTCCGCGGGGTCCGGGCAACTAGGCATTGGTCAGTCCTATGTTCAGTACCGACGAAACACAGGGACGGTGAACATGCACGCGCTCTCGTGGTAATTTTCGGGCAGGGTTACAGGGGGTGTGCAAGGAAACGGGCGTGACGTAAAATCGTCTCACTCTGCCTCCACGATGAGGAGGGGGAGCCGCAATAGGTGAGAGACAAAATGTTGGAAAAACGTTACCAAAAAACGATTTTCCAATGCCTGTGACAAGACGGGCACGAAAAAATGAACGCCTCCAAAGCCCTGCTTACCTGCCCATACCACGGGATGTCCGACAACTCTGGCGAGAAAATGTCCCCGGAGCGCATGTGCACGACCAGAGACTGGCCTTTACCCTGGGGGGAACTCCCGGCGTGGCGCTTATCCTCGCCCTCCACTGCCGACGTGGCTCGCAACAGTGACCGGCGTTCCTCCTTGCCCTCATCTTTCCAGCGGCAGAAGGCGTCGTCGGCGCCCACGACATCGTGGAGGAAGTGCGCTACGCACCCGATCATCTCAACACGCAGCATGCACTGAAGAAGCCTCTCATGAACTCCTGCAAACGGCAAGGAAGGCGGAACATAGAGCCAAAATCCGGGATAAGAACGCCGAGAGGATACGAAACTACTCGGCAACACGGAACAACTCAGGTTGGGTCTTGGTTCAAGCAGGTTTCGCAGACACATGCTGGGCAGTGAAACATGGTACAGACATTAAACAGCCAGCCTCAGCCTCCATATTTTTTCATGGAAAGGGGGGGCAACCCTTGGGCCTGCGCCGAATAGTGTCCCAAGCTAGTACAGCCTTGACGAACCTCCTAATGTTTCTCGCCATGCTGGGTCGTGACAGCTTCAGCGAAAGCTGACCGGTGAACCGTAAACTTTCTCACCTTCGCGGGTGAACTCCTTTGTCTTTTGTCCAGAAAGATGCTTGATCGGCGGGCATATCTCGGGGTCCGTTGCGATATCTCCGTATCCTAGGTGCTCGGTGCGGAGAGCAGCATCGGCGGAAGAAAAGCTGTACGTGTTGTGCCTCAGCTCCAACGTATCCCCGTTCTCCGTGGGAAGGACGGTGTCCTGTTCGGGCATCCTCACCTAGGTTTGCAAGAGGGCAACATATCATTAGGCATTGAAGGTACTTAAGGGGAGGGTATGGGAGGGTATGGCATCACAGAAAACTTTCGGTGCTCAATGGAGCGTGTTCGTGCCACGATAGATACATCTGGGAAAGTTCCGACCAACAATATCAATACAACAGTCTGCGGCGAAAACCTTTTCAGACCAACGCTCGATATGAAATCGGCTTTTGTCCACAAAGAATGGATCGGCATTCTGTCCATTCGGTGCTGGTACGCTAAGGTGACATTAGAATCTGGGGGCAGCTAGCAAATCGCGACCACTTGTCCAAAGCGTTTACTACTGGAGAGCAAGCAAAACACGACAGAAGAATTACCATTTCAAAATATCTCGACAACGTGGTACTAAAGAACGCTTCTGGATGCACCCTCAAAAGTTTAACATCGGAGCGAAACAATGACCGTCGACTAGTACATCTCTAAGCAAGAGAGATATCTTCCCCTCACTCTCGCATGCTGCACATGTACCCGAGGTAGAACCACTCACCACTTTGTACTGGCAGCAGAACGACATCGAAAAGACCCTTGTTACCACCTCATAGTGGTTTCCGCTGCGTCCTGGAAAGACGGACGAGCGCGAGTAACAACAGAGGAGGAAACCGTTGCGAACGCAATAGTTGCCCTGAATGTCCCAACACTACGCTCCTTCAATGAACAACGTGGGACCGCATGCACACGTGACGATGCCCTCGCCATCACGTTCGATCAACGTTCCGACTGAGCCGCGATTTACTGCCGTATGCATATGACCGCCACACGGCCGATGTCGGCATTTACGGTATAGTGGGCTCCCGAGAATATGCCAACGGGCTTCGTAGGAAACAGATCCGCTGCCCGACGTCTCAGAGGAACTGGCAGCGCAGAAATCTTCCCTGGCTTACCTATTGCGTCGAGAGAGCCGACGGACAAAATGCCGCCCGGCAAGGATTCGTCCGCCTCCAAGGCAGCAGCCTCCTCCTTAGATATCGCTTGAGGACAGGCGTCGCTCTTTAGGATGGATGTAGGTTTTGCATGCAAGCCCAAGACAACAGCATGAAAAATTATGATAGATAAGTCTCCTCGGCTATGGGTCTCAACAGGTTAATGCTTACGTAGTCTAAGGCGCCATCCACGAATTATCGTCATGGAATTCTTGTGGGGGGGGACGACCCCCGGGCAAGGTCTGATCGTCGTGTGGCATCCGACCGCCCCGAGCGGTTGGAGGGAAATCCTAGTTGCTAGCACTGGGTTTCAACGAGGTTTGCTGTCTCCTCTAGAGAAAACATTGAAAACACCAGAAAGCGAGGATGGCACGAAAGTCCCCTCACCCCTCCCCCTCCCGGTGTTGGGTTTTCGTCGCTTGGCAACGACGTTGTAAAACAAGCCAATTCACTTCGTGAACTCGGCAACTAGGTTACCGTTTGTTTTCTACCTCTGATTTTTTTGGCGATAATCATAATGGTGGTCGAGTAGATCATGTTGTGCGGGGTGGAGAACCCTCACCCCGCGCAACGGGGATGATCGCACCACGTTGTATTAAAATGGTCAAGCACCCTCGAGGCAGTTACACAACTGTAGTGCTTATAACGGGCTTTGGAAGTGAAAGCACCAGAAAATTAATGAAATCATTCGCAGCTGTCATCCGTACGCAAGGAAGTAAGCACAAGATGCCCAACACCCTTAGCAGGATGCAGCGCACCCTTCATGCGACTCGCCGAATACCTCACGGCGCTTCGCGCTTGGTGATGTGAGAGCCNCCGCGCAAGGGGGATGATCGCACCACGTTGTATTAAAATGGTCAAGCACCCTCGAGGCAGTTACACAACTGTAGTGCTTATAACGGGCTTTGGAAGTGAAAGCACCAGAAAATTAATGTACGCAGCTGTCA